ACTTTGACTCACAGTACTGTTTTAAAATAATGTCTCATGAAATTCAAAAGTTATTGCGTAGTTATTTATTTTTATTGAAACATGAAATATTCAATAACTTTGTTTTTATTTTACTCAACAAGAATTGGAATTTTTTTCTTTTTAACAAAAACACGTTCCTAGTACATCGAGCACTGCTTACAAATGTTGTTTACGAAATATTTGTAAATGGGTTTTTTTTTTTAACATTATATTAGTCTATTACGTTTATCGTCAGCTATGTTCCGCTTGTCATTTTATATATTTTTTCGATGCCAGAATGTGTCTGTTAATGGTCGTGATGAAAAATGTATCGTTGGATTGGTTCGATTTAGAAACATCGTAAACGTATACTACGTACATATCATACTGAGAGAAACTCATCTGATACATCCGAAATCAGATATTCACATCATATAAGTAGTAATAACGATCCCACCAAAAACATATATGTAAAATGAGAGCCAAGTTCAATACTATAATATATGCCTTGGTTGTTAACTTCAACGACAAAAGAAGTGAGATCTAAATGGGTGCCAAGTTAGGATAATATATTGAAGCCTAAGGTGGTGTGACTTGGCTACTTTTCATATACGAATTATTATTATAAGTAGGTACCTACTAAAACAGTAATGGAATAGTGAAGATGATTTTCCGAAGAATAAAATAAGAACTCAAAGCTTTAGAACTTGCAAATGCTATAATATATAATTCGTAGCCAAGTCAGACCTTAGGCTTCAATATATTATCCTAACTTGGCACCCATTTAGATCTCACTTCTTTTGTCGTTGAAGTTAACAACCAAGGCATATATTATAGTATTGAACTTGGCTCTCATTTTACATATATGTTTTTGGTGGGATATCATTACTTTTTGTATGTAAATTATTATAACCTAACCTAACCTAGCCATGACGTATTCTATAAATAAAGTTTATTACTATATAATATAATTCAGTTACTAATATTAATAATAATATTTATTATAAAATATTTTCCGTTGTATATACAGAGTATAAAATATATGTAAAATTAATATACAATTATTTTAACTCTTTTTGAGTATATTTTTAATTATCATAATTTTATTGACTGTAGTTTCTACTGTTGGGTGGATAATTCATAATTTGTAAGAATAATTATTTAATTATTTTAATTGTAATATTTTAAAAAAATAATATTAATTACATACATAGATAGAAAAAAAAGTATGTTGCTGCGCGCGGGTCGACAATATCGACACATATTCGGCTAGTCGTATTTTTGGAGCGGCGATACGGGAAAGGTTATTTAAGTCAACATTACATTACATTAAATTAGAGGCAATTCATTAATAAATTGAAAAATTAAACATAATAGATAAAATAATTGCAAAATTATAATAAAATCAATTGATTAAAAAATTAAAAATTAAAAAATTAAAAATTAAAAATTTTCAAGTTTCTGATTTTTTCCTTTGTATTTACCTAATTACCTATCTGTATGCCAAATTTGAACTTTCTAGGTCATCTGGAACTGGGTTAGAATTTTGATCTATAGGTAAGTCAGTGATAAAAATGACGATTTTCGGACGTTAATATCTAAATAACGGTTTGAAGTATATTTATGAAATTTAGAGCACATATGTATCTCGTTAGTCTCAATATATGAGCCAAATTTGACATGTTTATGTGGAATAGTTTTTGAGTTATGAGGGGGTCAAAAGTGGCTCCAAATGGTTCGTGTAATATTACACACGGTGCTGCTCGCCAGTTCTGTTAGCTAGAACTTGGCTTGACACGCTACCGCGTGTCTAGATTTAGTATACGATGACTTCCATAGTTTTCGTAAACTATCGCCGTTAAAAACAGACACATTATCGCTTCCACATTTTTTTTTTTTATGTACACGTTCAATATGCTATATTTGTGTACACAATTAAAAGGACTTGTACTACTGCAGTTGCGTTAGTATTTTTTCCCGTCAAGAGGCAATGATAATTGTGCCTTCTGTTGAAACGCATTTCTCATAAACATTATATACGCCTAAATGATGGCTAAATTCCAACCGCTTCACCATATTCCCTGAATTGGAATTTTCGAGATTAAGCTGACTATTTTAATAACATTAACTAATGGTATTTAATCTCGAGTGGACATTTTTTTAATTACTCACAGTCGGCTAAACAGCGTGTAAAGGGTAATACGCTAATTTACAGTAATATTAATTATATAAGCTTCGTCGGTTCGCTGGAATTCGGTATTCGCTTTACATGGGACACTCGTATCCGCATATCGGTGGCAGTGGTATTATAATAATAATGTAGTGGTTGCCAACACATCGGGCCACGGACACTGGAGCTAGTGGAAATCTATTTTTCTGAACATCTGAACTGAATATGTCGAGACCGGTCGTGTATAGTGGTACGAAACAAATCGTTATTGGATACAAACGACACAGGGCAAGCATCAATATAGCAGTTTTTGGAGCGTGGTAAAATCGAAAAGTGTCAACTCGACAGATATATAACGGACGTGTCACCGTGTTGGATGTGTGTTGGGTGTGTGTGTGTGTGTCACGATCGTGTGCGGAAACGACCGAATGTGGGTTAGGAGTTTGCAGAGACTTCGCTTCCTTTCGATTGGACGGCGTCAGTTTTTTTCCCATTATAATACCCATAGGATTTATATTTTATAGTTGTACGTTTATTACAGGTACACTTATCTACCCGTAATAGCGTTGGCCGCCCGGGGAATAGGTTTGTTTATTTATTCCGATTCCGTTGTTATCCCTTTATCGCGTCGCTGAATTACACGGTCAATTAAACACACGATAATAATAATATGATAATAGTATAATACACATTATAACAACAATACCATTACAGAGCGGCGCGGTAGTGTTTGTCGTCGTATTAATAATATATTTATTTAGGACTTTATTGTATTAACTGTTTTTTTTTTTTATTTAATTCGCCAACCGTTGTACTTTATGTGTCTGTGACCAGAACAATAATAATGATAAAAAAAAAAAAAAAACATTACGACAATATTATTATTGTACTCCTAGGGAATAGTCCATATTATTATTTATTATACACACAATGAAGACCACCCGTTGCTTGTTGGCTGGATAATTCACTACTGTTTATATTATTACTATATTTGCACATTATTCTTTGTTTTGTGTGATCTGCAATACACATGATTATGACACACACACACTCACCCGCGCACGCATTGATCGTAAGGATTTTCAAAAGAACGTTGGATATAATATAATATTATTATGTGGGTTTTTTTAATCCGGTGGTTGATGTTTGATTAGGACAAGGATTTTGATACCCTAAAATTCGGAAAAATTACCATGACTAACAACAAGATAATGATACACGTTTGTCACTGTTTGCCCTCTAAAATATTATATACATGGGCACATGGCTATTATATCAATATGATGGTTTTCATCATTATGGCTGTATTATGATTTATGATAATTATTTACTTCCAATAAATTGCGAAAGATGCCCCTATAAGTGTTAATGGGAAAACGTTTTAAGATGCCAGAAAAAAGGGCTGCATCAAAATTCCAGCTCTTATCATGTTTTGTCTTCTAGCTGCCTGTGCGTGTAATAATTTAATCTAATAGCGACGATAATATTAATATTATGGTAGGTGGTGAATACTTGGCCGGAAATCACGTCCGCATAATATATCAATAATTCGCTTTGCGTGGCGGACGGGATTTCCCGCAAAAGGGTGAACCCAAAGTTAGCTATAACGGATATCGAAATGGTAGAAATATTTTGCTAGGACGTTACTGCAGCAGTAGTTAAGACGTGTACGGTATTCAGTATGTGTGTCCCTAATGTATTCAGTTATCTGGCAATTGGGGAACTCCTATTAACATATAGCGGTTAACGTGGTAAACGGGCGTTAATAATATTACTATGCATAATATACGCGGAGAATCCCAACAAAATATAACTCTAGGGTGGCGGTAAATACGATTTCGTGATGTCATATTCTCCCCTCCCCCTCGTCCTTACAAAATATCCGTATGCATGTATAGCATAATGTGTTTATGAACTAATGCTACATAGTAGAATAAATTATCAGGTTTTCATCTAACCATGACCACCGCATAGGTGACGCTGTAAAACCCGGCAAAAGAAATTAATCGAGTAGGTGTGTGGAAATTCGTGCGCATCACGGTGGCTTTTGTTGATTTTATCAACTTTTGTTAGTGTATGATTATGGTATATTAACAATAACGGTGTACTCAATATAATAATACAATTTATTTTCTCTGTGCCCTTTTAGTAATAGTATATACCTACCTACCATGGCAATTAGAAATTTGTGCGTGTCGCTATCGATATGTTCAGATATAAATATACAATATGATTACTATATCATGAAACAGTTGGACCTACATTGTTGTTTGGATAAGGATGGTCCCCCATAGTGTGACTTGTTATTCTCTCCTTCCACCGTGCACCGTATAAATGTGTAATATCAGGATGACAGAAATGATTCAGCCGATTTATTCAACAGTGAGACAAAACAATTTAACTTAATCCATTGAAATGTGTGTTGTGCAAAATGCCAAAATCCCGCGTGTTTTATCTGTTTTTTCTCCGCTGGCACTTGTTACTACACATACTATTAGTATCCGTTACCTAACCCAACATACTTAGACATAACGATTGTAGGTACCGTATGGTTTTCCGACCAAATAAACAATATCGCTCCTCTGTTCTTTAACCAATATCGAATTTGATCATTTAGAATTTTACATAAATCTATGTCAATCTCAAAATGTACAGTCTTACGTATATTTATTATCTATATCTGGTATATTATTTGATAAATAATTTAAAACTTCGTATTAAGTCTTTAAGAGTTTAAGTCTTCGTTGGTTGCATTTAATAATGTAGAATAATAAATATTAATCTATTTACTTGAAAAAGTATTTTAATCACAATTTAATTAATGTTTCAGAACTTTATGGAAGAATTCAATAATTTCATACGCCGGGTGGTTTACTAACTCATTACGCCGACGAAGATCCATATTATTTGGACTTATACTCAGCATACTTCTTTTTGTAGTATGCGTACAATACAACGCGTCTAATGATATAGGTATCCAAAACATCCAAAACACTTTAGTAATGTCTGAGTCTGATGCTGATGAACAACCCTTGAATAAACATCAACCACCAGCGCCAATTTCGGGTACAGTTAGAAAAATGAAAAAAGAAGAAGATGTTAATTTCATTGAAGAACTGCAGGAGCCAGCCCGTAAAAGCCGCCGGATTCAAATCAATGAACCTCAACAATCACTACCGTATGTGCCTCCTCAGCGATTAGTGCATATCGATTTCAAAGGAGCACCGCCCAAACTGAGTTACCTTCAAAAACTTTTCCCTTTAATAAAAAGATTCGGTGGTACTGGTCTTTTGCTCGAATGGGAAGACATGTTTCCTTGGAGTGGAAGTCTATCTCCAATAGCTGCCGGAAACGCGTATTCAAAAGCAGAAATTAGAGAAATATTAAAAATGGCAGCTATGAACGGACTGGAAGTAATCCCGCTAATACAAACGTTTGGTCACGTGGAGTTTGCATTGAAACTACCGGATTTCGCCCACCTAAGAGAAGTCCAAGAGTCACCACAAGCACTCTGCCCATCGTACAACGCTTCGATGAAGTTTGTCGAACAAATGGTTGACCAAGTAAATATATCCAATAACAATTTAAATCATCCGGGATTATTGTGTGGTAAATTAAAATTAACTCCTATTTATTCGATTTTACAGATCCTCGAGATTCACGGGAATGTTAACTACTTGCATATTGGCTGTGACGAAGTGTTCCACATGGGAGAATGTTTCAGGTGCAGGGCGAAAGCCAGAGAAGATTTGTTCTTGTCACATGTCAAACAAGTGGCTACGTATGTACGCACAAAATCCCCAAACACAATTCCTATTATATGGGACGACATGCTAAGACATTTACCTGTGGCCACAATGCAGCTATACGACATTGGGAAATTAGTGGAGCCGATGGTAATTAATTTCGGGGCATTGCTTAGAACCATTTTTTAACTTAATCTAATACATTTTAATTGTATGTAATACAGGTGTGGGTGTACGCTGAAGACGTGTATAGATTTGTGATGCAAAGTGTTTGGGAAAAGTATCAAATTGTATTCCCGAATGCGTGGACAGCTAGTGCTTTCAAAGGGGCATTTGGAGAAACTCTATACATTCCAAACGTTAAGAGACATTTAGAAAACAATTTAAATTGGTTACAATTGATGTCCAACGAAAATAGTCGGTTTACGGGTGGTTTCAAAGGAATCGTCATAACTGGTTGGCAGAGGTAATTATTTGTAATATAATTTTATTAATTAATCACAGGGTATTTTTTTTTATATCCTATCCATTAGGTATATTATATTATTATCACTTTATCCTATTCGATTAACTTAACAGGTATGATCATTTTGCTGTCCTATGCGAGGTCCTACCGTCATCCATACCATCGATGGTCGTTAATCTTTTGGCAACTACAAATGGCTATATGAACCAGTCGCTGCAAACCGATTTGAACGAAGGACTCAACTGTGGTATTTTTGGCCACAACAACGAATATGACGGAGATTTCTTAAACTTAAATAACGATCCTCATCTTTGGGATCAGTTTTCGAGATGCACATTTCCTGGGAATACATTTTTCAGGTAATAATTAATATCACTTGTTTGGCTCATTAATTAGTGTAAGTAGTGAATCTTGTAAAAAATTAACGCCAATTTGTAAAATTTTAATTTTAGGTTGCTGTACAGATTACATACAATTGAAATAGACTACAATGATTTTATATTGGTGACCACAAAGAATCGTGGATGGATGACTAGCTACAACGTAGAACATGAATTTTCATCTCCACTTCGTGTCGACGAACTCATGAATGATCATTCTCGTATATACCGATCGCTTTTATCGATGGTTAGACCTTTTCAGGAATCTATGACTGGGATCTTTGATAAATATACCATATCCGAATGGATAGAACAAAGAGTTTATCCAATGATTAAAGAACTGGAAAAAATACACAATGAGGCACGTGACTTAAAAGCAAAAAAGACATGGCCTAAAAGGCCACTTCCTATGTTGAAAGAATTATTAAGGATTGGAGTTACTGAACGTGAACTTTCTACACCATCCAACGAAGGGACGTAAAAATGTTATAACTTTAATTTGACTGTGTTTGTTGTGAACTAGGCATTAAAAATAAGTCTTGTAGATAAAACTAATTAATTCTACAAGTATAAACGAGACTTCAAGACATGGTATAAGTTGACAAAGTTTCAGGGTTATGTGTGAATTGCATTTCAAAAGGGTATTATCGTAATATAAGTGATACTTAGTAAAATGATTGATAAGTTTGTGCCACCAAGTGTTAGGTTTTGGTCTCTATAGGATATGTGCAATTTAGTAAAACAATACAGTATAAATAATAAAAAAAAAAACTACTATGTAAATATAAACTGACCAAAATGTATAAAGTTTAAGAATAAAACATGCCACGGCTCTGTCTCCAGTTTGCCCTTGGTCAGGGTGCGCTAAGCTGGAGGGAGTAGATGGTCTAGGAAAATGCTTCGGAAATTAAATGAAGAAATAGTGCTCGGTATGAGATTCGATCCCACAAGACTTTACACATATACACTACGTGCAGTGACACTCAATACCACTGAGCCACTGTCCAAGGCGGTCTTATACATTTAATCACATTGCACACATATTTGGGTTGATGCGTGAGTTGTGCTTATTGCTTTTGAAAAATGTGACAGTGTCGAACATATAACTTTATTGATACAAGAACTTCCACAATAATCTTGTGCCATTCAACAGTTTTAACTTACCTATTAAATACTTATTCAATGATTAAGTTTATAAAAACAATTTTATTTAAATTTTAATTAGGTTAAATATTTGTTGAGTATTTTTTTCTTTTAAAATTAGCTTGAATAAATTGTTTTGTGTTACCTTAATTAATATTTAAAATATTATAAATACTTATTAATTTTTAAAATTTTACACTTAAATAATTAATTAATTGTATTACCTAAATGTATTGTTTTACGTAGGTACCTATCGTTGTGTAATTTTTTTTAAAGTTTTCTGGTTGCTTTATCAATTTTTTATATTTTGTTACCTTAATATACTGTGTGAAAAAATAATTAATCTAAATATTGTGTTTTTTTTTTATTCAGAGATTTGTACATAATCATTAGGCTGTGTTTTATTTATTTTTTATTATTGTTTCTTTTAAAACAAATATGGTGTGAGGAATATATAACATAATGACTGAATTTGAACTAGCTAATTCGTACTTAGAAAAGAATCAGTTAAATCACAATAATTATTAAAGTTAACTGAAAAAAAATGTTTTTCATTGTTAAAATAATAAACAATAATTATTAAATTAAAATAACATGTCTAAATAGTTTGTATTCAACACACCCTTCAGTTTTTGTTTTAAGAGTTAAAAATCACTATTTCTGTCAGTTTTACATTTTTAAGTATCTATATTTGACAATTGTAAAATATTTATTGCTATTGAAATTAAAAATATTTATAAAATAGTTATTAACTGTAATATATTTAATGTGATAATTATTATTATTATTTGTTTTGAAAAATATTTCTATGAATGAAACTATAGAATTAAAATGACATGTGTAATATGTGTATACACTTTCTGTTATGTTTTCACAAAAATATTTTTCAATTAATTATGTTTTAGATTTTAAGGTCGATTATTTTATTTAGTTATAATTATATAGCGTAAAATTGTATTATAAAAAAAGCTCTATTCAGATTTTGTAATATTCATTAATTTATTTATTAAAATATCCACTCATTTTAAAATGCATAACATTTTATTTCAAATATGTTGATTTAAAATTTAAATAATGTGACTTAATAAAATTATTTTATACCACCAATATAATATTATATATTTACTTAATAATAAATAATAATTAAAATAAACTTTAATAATTATGTCTAACTCTTTGTTATACATAATTATAACTATAGAAACTTGCTAATTTTATTTTTAACATATTAAAGTTATAAAATTGTATCAATTTTGTAATTATAATATTAAAATAATATATGTTGATATTTAATATTGAGTGGTTTACTGTAGAATTTGAATTGTAAATTTATATTTACAAATTTTGTTGGGAAAATAATTATTTAAGGACTTGTGCCACCAGAAAATAGTGAGATAAATGTTGTACCTAAACATGACACCCAGTGGAGTCCGCATGATTTTCCAATGGAGGGGGGGCTTGAAAATTAGTTACATTTTTATTTTGTCCTGTCTAATAACTTCAGACGTTTATTTGAGGTATTTTAAAATGTTTGTAACTTTTCAACTTTTTTGGTAGAAAAAATGCTCTGATCATAAGCTTCGATGCCCAGTGTATGTTTTTGGAAGCAAATTGGATCTAGTTGGTACTTTTAGGAGGTCTAAATTGAAAATGCTCAGTGCTTTTAAAAATATTTGGAGAAAAAAAATGAAAATTTATTTAAATGTTTGGTTATACCGTCTTCACTTGGATTGTATTTGAATAATTAAATTTTTTTTTTTTCTATAAATGTCAATAAAAAATTATTTATCCGGTCAAAAACCTTAAAAATGTAATAAGTAAGTTATTATATTATAGCTAAATATTAACGATACATGCATAGTGTTTGAAAATTTCATGAAATTTCAAAAAATTAAATATTTCAGTATTTTGATATATTTTGTTTTATTTTTAAATAAGTTTTATATTTACATATAATTGTCATAAATTACCTTCATAACTATATGGTTCTTATATGTATACCTAACCCTTGGTATTATACATTTAAAATGGTATTCAAAATTTTTAAATATTTTAATGTTTAAATGATAGGTACAGGTATGAAGTAGGTAACAATATTATACATGTATATTGTATGAATACTGAAATGGCTTCAGCCCTTTAGCCCCCCCCCCCCTTGCGGACGCCACTGATGACACCTATACCTACATAGACTTTGAATACTTTAAAAATGCAAATAGTGTTTAATAACTTAAAACATTATTAACTAACTACATATTTAAATAATGGTATTATATTTACTAATATATGGTACTTTTAATTTCATTTTATTCACTAATTTTATCCTGCCTGTGTGTCTTTCATAAGGGGCAATAATTAGGCAATATACAATTGTGTTCTTGTTCCTCATGGCATTTGTGTTAGTCGTCAATGAAAATGAGTGTAAGTGTGATTTTAGACCTGTACAAATATATGCTATATCAATTATAGTAAATACTAAATTTATTTATTTTATATAATTTTTGTTTTAAATACATAATATAATATCATATTGAAATATTGACTTTTTATTATGTTAGTATTGGAAAAGTACTCTTTAAAAATAAATATCAACACACTTTAACATTAATACATTTTAAATAACAATATATTTTCATTAAAATCACTTAATATTGACGTTATCAATACTTCTACGTATTTTCAAACAAGTCCTAAAATAAATTATAATATTTACTAGACTTACTTATTTTCATAAATCTATTACAAAACATTTAAATTAGGTAGGTACCTTTTTAATTATTTAACTATTTTGTAAATTGCCATATTATATTGTATATTATAATAAAAATATAGGAATCTAGTTAAGTAAATAAGTGAAGTTTATTTTTCAAATTTATATTTTCGAAAAAAAGTAAATTTTAATTCAACATCTATAATTGTCTGGTTACAGTTTAAATTGTCGATAATTTATGTAAGTAGTAATAGTTATAGGTAAACGTACAATTTTCACCTAAATAGTTTTTCCATTTTATTATTATTATTATATGATTATTTGAATCTAAGATGTATAAAGGTTTATCAACATACGTATTATAATCAATAATGGTTTGGATAGCAAAACCTACATTTTCGGTAGATTTGGTATAAAATATAAATACACACAAATACAAAAAATTTTAAAATAACATTCTCTAGAGTAACACATTTTTAGCAATTCACAGTAAAGTCTATATTGATATGTAGGTAGATATATTCACTATTCGGGTATTCTTTAGGGAAATGATGGGCATGGAGGGTTTTGATGATCCACCGGAACAAAGTTTTTACTTTAAAAAATACGCATAGGTGCTAGGTACTACCAATCTGAAAATGGTTCATTTGAATAGAATCGTCCATCGTGGAGTATAAATAAACTAAAATAATAATAAATTAACTTAAAAAATTAATTTGTATTGTAATGTTATTCAACAAAAATTATCTAAAAATCTTTTCTTTGTACCTCCTACAGCAATTATCTCGCTTCTCCGGTCTGTTTGTGTTCAAAAACTTGTTCACGTGACTTTTTGCAGGTTCGCCCTGTTTCACATAGTATGGAGCATCTAGATAAATGATAAAATAAACAAAATATACTGCGTAAGACAAGTGTTAATATTATGTGGTTTAGGTACTCAGCTACATAATATTATAATGTGTAAGTTTAAGGATGAGCGATTTCCCACTTAATTACATTGTATTATTGTAATATAGAAACATACAATATTACAATATATTACATTATAGTATTATTATATAACAAATAATAATTTTTTAACTAGGGGCGTAATTTCACATTTGTCATGCAAAACCAATATTAAAATCTACCTACCTGAAAAGACGTTCCCACAATATTTATAAGTTATAACAAAATTCATTCAATTAAAACTAAACAAATAAATGAAAAATTAACAATGAAAGTAACACATTTCCATATATGATTTTATATTAAGTAAAAATACAGAAAAATTACTGGGGGACGAGGTGGCCGAGTGGTCTAACGCGTCGACTGCGGCGCTGGCAGTCGCGGGTTCGCCTCTCGACCACTGGGCGGCATTTTTCTCCGGGCAAGTCACGGTGTCCGGAGTACAAGTGCCGCCATCCCCCAACCCGGGGCATGGCAGAAACCTACGGGTGCCCCAATAAAAATTCTGCCACCACAAACACACACGTGTACCAACCTACCCAAACTAAAAACCTACAGTTCCCTACCAACACCCAATGGCCTATGTTGCCGCGGGTTATCCAATAAAAAAAAAAAAAAAAAAAAAAAAAAAAAAAAAAAATTACTCATTAAGTATGTACACTATACAGTATAATAAACAT